CAAAACAACAGTGGGTTAAATAAGAAGTTTATTGAGCTCTCACGTAACAATCTGGTTAAGATGTCCTAGGCTGGTTTGGTGGCTCATCTGTCAAGGACCCAGTCTCCTTCTATTTTATTTTCCACCCTCCTTGGGGTCTGGCCCTCATCCACATGAAGCCTGCAGATGTTCAAAGGTTACAGTCTGAATTTCCTTCAGCTCTGCAAGCCAAAACCCTCCCCAGTGTGGTGCCAAACCCTCTTTCCAACACCACCCTCCAACACACATAGTCTCAGCTCCAACCACTGTTTCCACTTGTGCTTCAGGCCTCAGATTTTTCCTCTTCTTGAATGGGCCTGCTTCCTCTGCTCCCCATCCTCCAGGTCTCAACAGCCTCTCCCACTGGGATGACAGGATCCAGAGCTGGTAGAGCCTGTTGCTCCCCAGGAGTGAGAGGCCCTGACTCCAGGGAGAGGGTGGCAGTGGCAGCATTACCTGTGTTTGGAGTCCAAGGTGAGAATCCAGTCTTCCTCGCACCACCCTGTCCTGGCTCCTCCACCCTCATCTCCTGCTAGAGAACCTCTGCTTCCTCCCTGCCCTCTGCATCATACCTCAGTAGTTTAGTGAGCATAAAATGGTTAAAATAGGTCCCTTTGACTCAGAGATTGACTCAGGAGGGGTGGCAGATGGGTTGGAAGGGAGGTTTTGTGGATCAGCCACTTAAAAAAGTATCCCAGTGATGTTTGAGGATATAAGTCCATAGACTATATTTTCAGAAATTGTATTTCCCTCTGGACACCTTATCTCTAGCAGCCCATTTGAATGGGGGCTACATTTTCTCTGATACTGTATGTCCTGCAGATGACCCAGCTTTTATTCCAGTGAGAACATTCCAGAACAAACTAAGGATCAATCCCACACATTTCTCCAATCACCTCTGGGGATGACTGCATGACATCAGCAACCTGCACCTCACCTGTTGCCTAGCTATAATGACACCTTCCTGGGACTCTGACTTAGCAAGGTGTCTACCATGTCACTCCACATAGACCCCTCTTCTTGGACACTCATAAGCTTACACCTCCTTGCCACACCTGGATATGGAGGTGTGCTGCAGAGTGTTGGCTGCTTCTTGGCACTCATTCCCACCCCTGTCTATGTAGGTGCCAGAAGTTCAGGAACTACACTTCAAGACTCCCTTGCCAGCAGGGTACTACCAATAAAATGTACTCATGTGAAATCTGGAAGGTGGAGAGGAAGTAGAAGTCACCCTCTGGAGCAGCAGACATGCAGGCTGTAGTGGCCAGCTGGACTCCACATTCCCCCACCAGTCACCAGTCTGGGGACCATGGGGCTGCAATGACATCAGTGTGGTTTTCTGAAGTTTCCTGACTCCTTTCATTCTCTGGAAATCAGCTGTGGTAAAATAACAATCCTTCATACCATCCCCAAACTTTCACCACCTCAAGCCCCTCCAGTGATAAGCACTAATTGCCTGTATAAAATCCCTTTTTGTTTGAAATACCTAGAATGGTTTCTGTTTTCTTGTGTGGGGTGACATAAATATATATGTGGTCTCTGTCTCTGGTTTCTGATACAGAGTTCCTAAAATCCTTGTAACTTCCTGAGCAATAGGGTGTTAGGAGCATCTTCTGTTCTAACATTTGGTTTCTGGTCCCAGTCCTGACACAGAGCTCCTAAATCCCTTGGAATTTCCCGGGTGACAGGAGTCTCTTGTTGGAGACTTGGCTCCCTGTCACCTGTGCAGCTGCACATATTGCCTTTTGCTCCTTGCACTTCATGCTCCAGAATACCAGCCAGCACACAGTTCCAGCACACCCCAAGGTTTTGTGCTCCTCTGCCTTCGTACTGTCTAGAATGCCTTTCCTTCCTGTTCTCAGCCAAAAAACTTTTCTTCTGCTTTTCCTCCTCTGAGCCATCCCTTACATCTACTCCTTTCCAGCCAGCCAAGAGCTGAGCCACGTCTTGGTCCACTGCCACTGTCCTGTCTAACACACGTTCTTCTCGGTATTCAGCTGGCTGTCTCTCTTCCCAGTCTATGAGCCCCTTGAGGAAAGGGCCTCTGTCCTTGTCATCAACTCTTTCTCCAGCACAAGGCGCGGTGTCTGGCATATAAACCAGGCCCAGCTCAAGGTCCCTCTTTTTCACGGGCTCTCCCTACGTTGCCTGACCTTCCCTCCTCTGAAATGCTACATTTCTTTTCTGTATCATTTTTGCCCTAACCATACATTGCCTCATTTCATCATCTTTTAAAAAAGTCTCTCTGACAGGTTTCATCAGAATCAGTGAGGAATTTTATTGATGTAGTAGCTGTTGGCCTTGTTTCCATCTGTCTCCATCAATCAGGTCTCAGTTAAGAGCTAGTCTTCTGAGCTGTAGTTTGCCTGTCAGTAAGATGGAAAAAGAGGCAGCCCTTGCTAGCTGTGTTTTGTGTCACCTGACCCTGGGTACCCCTCCCCTTTCCAGGCTATAGCCAGGGGTGCCCAGGGTCACCTGGCTCAAGGAGGGATGGTTCATCCACAGGCTGGCCAGGTGAAAACTATGGTCTCAGGCAGAAACTCTGCCCAATCTAGGGCAAGCTGGGCAAAGCAGAATCTCTCTTGGGAGTTTTAATTTAGAAATATGGTAGGGTAGTATTTGAGACTAATAACTGTACAAACGTGAGACAGCATTACACAAAAAATATTATCGAAGCCTCAGTTTGTGTGCCAAATTTTAAATAATGTAAATATGCCAAAATAGAACTGCAGTTGCCTGGAATCCCAGTCTAGACTTGGGAAGCCCAGCAGTACAAGGATTTCTTTTCTTGGTTTCTTGTAAGCTCTCTGCTTATGTCCAACACTCATTAAAATCAATACCCCAACCCTATTATAGAGTTTAAATTGACAAGGGAGTTTGTCCTTATGACTTAGTAAAACTAAAGTGCCTAGTACTGTACCTGACCCAGAGCTGGTGTTCAATAAACAGTAGCTGCCATCAGTATTATTGACTCTTTGATGGCAACCACAGTTTATACTTTTTTATATCCCTATACCCTATGGTAGGGCAGTGTAATGGTTAAGAGGCTTTGAAGTCTAGCAGCCTGTTAAGACAGTGGGTTCAAGTGTAAGATCCTGACTCATCATGATGGGTGTGTGGCCTTGGGCACTTGGTCAGGTTACCTACATTCTTTTAGCCCTGGTTCCTCATCGGTCAAATGATGATAAATAATGCTATGCTTCCATGGACTGTTGGGCTAAATGATTTAAGACTGCAAAATGCCTAAGCCAGCCAGGGCTTGGCACCAACTTAGCAAGTTGTAATTGGTAGCCGGGGCTGCTGCTGCTTCCTATTATTATTACTATTTAGTCTTGTACTTTAAACTCAGTAAATATTTCTTGGCTCACTGAAGTCACCACTTAGAGAAATACTAAGTTTTTCATCTCAGAAAGACACTTTGGGAGGTAAGTTGGGCAGGCGTCAAGAGAACAGGTGTCTCGTGCCCAGCATCAGCAAGCTGAACAACCAGATGAGGAACTGATGGGCTGTCTCCAGTGTGTCTTGCTGCTCCTTGGGGGCTCCACAACATTCTCCTGTGGCTGGCACCATTCTTCATCCATGATACCAAACCGCCAACATTTATTTGTGCTCAGATAGGTGGATTATCAATTCTAGTTCATTCAGACTTTTACTAATATGTTTAACTTTCACTGACTTACTAAATGTGACTTATTAATGGCTTTTTCTTTGAAGATGGAGTGGAGGAAGACTTTCATCTTCTGCAAATTGTACTTGCATTGTCACTTGGAATCATGCAGCCATGGTTCTGCATGGGGTGAGGCAGGAAGTGGGTAGGTGTGGTGCTGGCAGAGCTGGAGGGAACCAAACAGCATGTACCTGACACGCAGTAGGGTCAGGAGAGGTGAGGGCAGTGCATGTGACTAGAGATGTCGCCCCACCGATGTGTTTTCTGAAGTAAAGGCCTGTGGAAGGCAATCTTGGGAAATTACTGCTCTCATGCATTCTTCTTTATTCTATCCCTCCAGCACCTGCCTGCTAGCTATACAAGAGTTTGGATTTTTAAAAAGAAACAGAAAACAATGTGAATTTCCCACCAGCTTGTAAAAGTAGAGAACTCCTTACCAAGGCAGGACACATATTCATGTATGAGTTTGAGGGCTTGGGAGAAAAGAAAGAACTTGGCCCCACAGTGCAGGTAGGCTCAGTGATCCAAATACTCTGATAACCTCGAAGACCATAGACCAAAGAGGGGGGCCAGAAGGTGGATGATCCCCTGTGGGCAGGAAGTCAAGTTTGTTGTAAGTGACTGGTTCTTGATAAACCAGGGAAGAGAGCACCAAAACAACTGATATTTGATTAAAAATCTGCACCCCTTGAGGATGACATATTTTCAAGGCTCCCAGAAATTGATTATATGGGAAATGAGGGAGAGAAGCCCTGGTCAGCCTTTGCCTGCATTGCCTCTTGTGGGACTACTGGCTCCCATGAGAGATTCCATCTTCAGTCCTGCTTTTCTTGCCTATGGCCCTTGTTATTTGTATATAAATATTTAACTATTTACATTTTAATTTCTTACCACATGGCTAGAATTGGTTATGAATTTTAAACATTTTAATATGAGAAAAATAAGTATTTTACAAGCAATGCTGAGAAGCCAATATTAGAAAATAAAATTTGCAGGTGGCCTGAGGCAGGATGGGGTCATTCTGTGTTGTTCTTGAGCACCTTCTTTTCCTCAACCTCATCAGGCATATCTAAGTACATGGACTTCTCTGAGCTCCCTCAGGTAAGAAGAACACTGCCAAGGCTTTTACTCTTGAAAAGAGCTATTAACAGTCTGGCTGGCCAGTTAGCTCAGCTGGTTAGCTCAGCCTTACATCACCAAGGTCACAGGTTTGGATTCCCTTACTGGCCAGCTTCCAAAAAAAAATAATAATAATAATGAAAAGTTTTTTTAATCTCCTCATTGTAGATGCAATTTTTAAATTGTCCCCAATCATTTACCCTGGACCCTTGTTGAAAATTTCATCCTCATCAGAAGACTCCTTGTCATGTAGCTTCTGGGCCATGTTTTTCTTGCATGTAGCATTGAGAAGTCTATATATATCCCTAAGCCAAAGCGGCCACCTTAACCAGAAAAAGCCCTCCTAGAAAATAAAAGGGGAAATATTAATTCTGCATTTCCCCTGTTATCTCTGGACACAGCAGTGGATCTTTCTTAAATTTACCTGAGAGTCATTTTGCTGTGAGCATCTCCTACACAGCAGAAATCTGAAAAAGCCTCTTGGGAGAAAACACACACACAAGACAATTAGTGATTCGCACCATTTTCCATGTCTCTCACAATGTACATCTCTGGTCTTACTAGAGCTAAATGTGCACCTCAGTCCATAATCACAATGAACAAAATCACCACAGACCGGGTATCTTCAAAAGAATTTCATGCATGCTGGGCTTCCAGAAGCTCTCCATGTTTGTCCAAAAGGGCCTCACAATGCCTCTGGGGAGAACTTTGTACGCAGCATGGAGTATAGGCAGGATTTTCAGCCCCACTTACCCCCCTTGATCAAGTGCCCTTGTGCAGTGAACAAAATGCACAGCCACACTGGGCAGAAGCATTTGCTGTCTCCAGAAGCATTTTACATCAGTCCCCTTCAGCTTTGTCTTACATGCATCATTTGCTGGGGGGGAGGGCGATACGGTGTTTCTGTTTTCCTAGCTGCTTTATCCTAGAGGCTGAATCACATCAAGCAAATGCCTGGGTTCAACTAGCTGAGTTATCCAGCTCATTGATTTTAATACTGCAAGATGTCACTGATGAATGAGTGAGTTGTGGAACCAGTTTAAAGGACATGACTAGCACTAAAACAAAATACTCTGAGTACAAACAGAATATGAAAAAAAATCAGTGCATCATTTTGGAAACTACCTATGTCTATATTGTATGTGTGTACTGATTTGTGGCATAAGATGTAGCTCACAGTCCAAGCACAGGATAATAAATGGAGAAATCCCAGCTAGAAAAGGAATCATCCTCTCTCTGATACTCACTAGCAGTGTGATCATGGGGCAAGATATTTTTCCTTTCACCTTCTCTGTTTCCTTATAATAAAAGGAAGAGACAAACTACCATCTAAGGTATCTCCTAGTTAAACTCTATGAGGTTTGGATAAGAGGAATAGAGAGTGGGGGCCCAAAACCAAGAAGGATAAGAAGGTAAGTTTTTCTGCCACTTTAGAGGATGGACTCGTGTATTCTAACTTCTATCAGCCTTGAAATCTAAAAGCCTCAATATCATGTGGCCTTCCCTAACCCCTCTCTAGAGCCTCCAAGAAGGCCTCTGGCCTGGCCTGTCCCCCATGCCCCACCAGAAGGAACAGGCACCACCAAAGCCTCTCCCTTCCACCCTTTCTTGGAAGGACAGCAGGTGCATCCTTTCTAGTCGCTTCTAACTCAGCTTTGCCTGGGGAACTAATGTTGCTGGAGGCAGGCAGAGCACTGGGTTAAGGAAGTATTCCTGCCTCTGGCAGTTTTCTCACTGTAAAATGAGGGGATTGAAATAGATACATTTTAAGTTCTCCTCTAGTTCTAAAATTCTAATTTAAAAATAAATACTTACCTTGGGGATCTTTCTTTATTGTCCTCTGATACTGTTCTATGAGAATAAATCTGTTTTGGAAAAAAATACAATCATGATTTTCCATCATAATGACCATTGTCTCCAAATCTTTATTCATTCATTTTATTTATTATAAGTCTTATCTACCTGGTGAGATAACTTTTTTGAGAACAGGAACTCTATCTGTTTAACAGTTCTTTGATTCTTCCACAGTACCTAGCTTAGGATCTTGCATGCAGCTGGCACTTATTGACTCTTTAGATAATATTCAACAGATAATTTCTACCAAAAACTCTTAAAAGTAGGAAAAACAGAAACATCGGTAACTTGATAAAAGTATCTCCCAGAAGCCTAAATAACAGCATGGTTTTAAAGTCAAGAACAAGAGTAGGATGCCTATTATGACTGCTACTATTCATCGTTGTTGATTTGAAGTCCTAATAAATGCAATAAGAAAAATGGGTATAAGTATTGGAAAGGAAGAGATAAAACTATCATTATTTGCATATAAAAATGATGGAAAATCTTGGGCCGGCCCCGTGGCTCACTCGGGAGAGTGCGGTGCTGGGAGCGCAGTGGCGCTCCTGCCGTGGGTTCGGATCCTATATAGGGATGACCGGTGCGCTCACTGGCTGAGCGCGGTGCGGGCGACACCAAGCCAAGGGTTGTGATCCCCTTACCGGTCACAAAAAGGACAAAAAAAAAAAAAGATGGAAAATCTAAAAAGCCCAAAAGAAACAACTAAAAGTTTATTGAAAGTAATATGAGGATTCAGTAAGGTGACTAGGTACAAAATCAAGTGATCAGTGCATAAACTTCAACAGCTTTCCTATGTACCCCAATAACAAATTAGAAAATGGAAGAATGATCCCATTTACAACAGCAATAAATAAACTTAACAAAAGATGTGTATTATCTTTGTGATGAATTAGAACTCTTCTGAAGGATGTTAAGAAGGTATAAATACATGGCATGAGATACCATGTTCCTAGAATGTTGTAAAGATGTCAATTCTCTAATCTACAAATTCAATGCAATCCTATTCAAATCCCAAGACAATTTTTTTACAAAAATTGGTCAGGTGACATTTAGGAGAGCAAATGAGCAAGAATAGCTATGAAATGTATGAAAAAGAAGACCAAAGAGCAGGAGCTCGCCCTACCAAATATATAACTCAATATGTTATAAAGCATCTGGAATTATGTAGTGTGATCCTGGTACTGGCACAGAAAAAGACAACTGGATCAACAGAAGAGAGCAGAGTCCAGATAAAGATGGTATTCTAGATCATTGAAGAAAGAATGAGTCATACAGTAAAAATTGTCCTAAAACAATTGAATATTCATGAAGGGAAAAATAAGTTAGACTCCTTAACTCAACCATACTAAAAAACAAAGAAATAAAAAATTCCAGATGGATTAAAAAATATAAATAACATAATGCTATAGAAGTACCAAAAGAAAACACCAGACTATTCTGTGAAGTGACAAAGGCCTCTAACAGGACTCACACCCCTTAAGCTACGGGGCTAGGGCCACAGATGCTATGGCATAGACTATAAATTATCTACTCTTCACAGCCTTTGGCCCTTTCCCCACTGGATTGTCTTTTTCTCACTGGTTTATAACACTCTTTATATTTAAAATATTAATTCTTCCAGTGGTTTTCATTGTACTTCAATGTTTCAAATATTTCCTAGTTTTGTTTTGTTTTTGTCTTTAAAGAGGCAAAACAGAGTGGCGGTGAGGTGCGCAGGCTTTGCAGTCAAGGGAATCTGGGTTCTGCTTTTGGTTTTGCAACGGGGACCTTAAACTGATCTACTTCATCTGTAAAGAGGGATGATGATATCCTCCTTACAGGACTGTTGTGAGGATTAAATCGTACAATACATGGCAAACTCTTCATCCTATGCTTGGCATATTTAAGTGCTAAGTTTGCTAGCAAGGGCACAGACAAGGCAGGCAAATCTACCAAAGGTTTCTGCCTGTGATATCAGGCTTAGAAAGCTCTTCTCCATTCCAAGATTATAAAAAATATTGCTTCTATTTTCTTCTAGTATTTTTACATTTTCTTTTTTTACATTTACTGAAGTATATTTAAGGTGAGAATAGGGATCTGCCATTACTTGCCCCTCAAATACTTAGGCAGCTGTTCTGTTAACATTTATTCATTTTCTCCCACTGATTAGATTAAAAGGTGCAATTTCAAAAGTCTTAGGAACACAGGTCTGTCTATTGCTGGACTCTGCTTACTACAAAGAAATATTAGGTTGTATTATTCCTCATTGTGGAACTGCTTCATCTCTCCCTTCCTTTGAACACCTTTATTGTCTGCAAGGAGACAGAGGAGGAGAGACCTACATGTAAAACACTGCATGCTCCCTGTTGGGAAAATAGAGTAATTTAATCAGTCCCCCTTGCCTTAGGTCCGGTTGGGGGTGGTGCAGTGCACTCTTTGTAAATAAGTTGTGTGTGGATAGAGTTAGTGTGCATGCACAGCACTGTGACCTGGCTGGCATTGACTGCCTTGGGCATCTGCCATATGTGGCCATGCTCTCCATCCTATGGCTTCCAATGACCTGTTTGCTGGTTATCTAGCTCATAGACCTGTGTGTGAGGAGTCTGGTGACCCAGCCTGGTGTGTGAAGGGTTTGTGACCCAGTCTCGAGAATGGGCTTGAGGGGTCTGTGAGCTCCAGACCTAGCCCTAGCTTGACAATTGGCCCAGTTGGCAGGATTATAGGCAGGTAAAAGACATTGGCACTCCCTGTCTTCATATAGCTTCATCTAAGTGGGGAAATGAAATAATAAAAACCTATAAATAAATACAAATGTAAGGTTAAATTGTATACAGAAAGTAAAAGCAACATAGGAGTTGATAGAAAGTTCAAAAAAACAAAAGGCCACATGCCACCTGGAGGCCTCTGCAAGCTGACCCCAGGCTGGTCCCTGCCTCCTAGGTTCGGAAATCAGACTTTGTCCTTTCCAAGAGAGAAGTCCTTCCTTTCAGAGCAGTCTCACCTATCAATATCACAGGACTGACCAAAAATCAGAATGTCAGATTACAACTTGACAGTGAGAAATATATCTCATTCCACAGACAATGCCTGTGTCTACACGATCACCCCTCTGGAGAGACGGGTCTCCATGACCCACCGAAGCACAATCTGAAGGCTAATGTGAGAACAGAATTAGAAAAAAAGGAATTAGCTGACTCCAGTGTTTAATGGAAAGGGCTGAGGTGGCTGGATTCACCCATCTTCCCCCAGGCGCAGCCTTGCCTGGGCCTGACCCCACACCTGCCTGAGGCTCCATGTCAACTCACACACAATGAAAGGTGGGCACTGCATTGCTGGGCTCTTCCTCACCTTGTCTGTGCTCTCACGACTAACCAGCCCTCTGCAGACAGACATGTTTTTCTTTAGATATGTTAATACATCTATAGTTGGGTTCTGCTCATGTCTGTAGACTAGGGACCTTACATCTCTGCTCTGCTCCATTATTTGTGGACCTTAGCATTTCTCTCTTGGATAGCCATCTTTTTTTTTTTCTTTTCCTTTTTGTCTTTTTTACTGACTGGTAACGGGATTGCAACCCTCGGTGTCGTGCCCGTACCAGGGACCGGCAACGGGATCGCAACCCTCGGTGTTGCGCCTGCACCGCGCTCAGCCAGTGAGCGGGAACCGGTCTCCACATGGGATCCGAACCCTCGGCAGGAGCGCCGCCGCACTCCCAAGAGGCACACTCTCCAGTGTGCCACCGGGCCGGCCCTTGGATATCCATCTTTTAAAAAAATTGTTTACCACATTTTGGGTTCTGGTCAAGATGGTGGAATAGACGGTCCCCAGCATCACCCTCTCCCAGAAATCAACCAATTTACAAGTATATAAAAAAGCAACAACAGCCAAGCTGGGGCCACTAAAGCTCAGGGAAAGAGGAAAGACCTATGGAGTGCATGAAGGTGGGAGAAGCCACAATGAGAGAAAGAAAAAGCTGCTCTGACCATTTTGTGCTGTGGCTGCTTTAAGGCTGGAACTGCTGAGCACATGGAGCAGGAGCCAGCAAAAGCCACGGCTGTGCCCTTCAGATGAAGTTGCTTGGAGGTAGCAGGGGAGAAGAGGGCCTTGGTGGCCCCCAGGCCAGCAAGACCACTAATAGGGTTCCCGTGGACCCACATAGGAGCAAGGAGCCACAACAACTGAAAAATGGAGCCACTCAGATGCTGGTGACTCATCACAACTGATTGGTGCATGGCCCATCCCATGGGAAGTGTTTGCAGCATGGACAGTGGGAGAGATAGGCCCACCAGGGGAACACTGGGGCACTGCAAGGACAGTTGATCTGCACCCCAATCAGCATAGGACCACTCAGAGGAAACTGGTCAGGAACATAGAATTGTATGGAGTGCAGTCTGATTGTTGGGAAAATAGAATAATTTAACCAGCCCCCCTTGCCTGCCCAGTTGGGGGGCATTCTTTGTAAGCAAATTGTGTGTGGGGGGGTGGAGTTAGTGTGCACGCACAGCACCACGACTTGGCTGGCATGGACTGCCTGAGTGGCCGCCTCCCGCACAACCATGCTGTCCAACCTATGGCTTCCAAGGACCTGTTTGCCCAGTTACCTAGCTCATAAATCTGTGTGTGAGGGGTCTGGTGACCCAGCCTGTCATGTGAGGGGCCTGGGGACCCAGCCTGGCATGTGAAGAGTTTGTGACCCAGTCTGTGAACAGGCTTGAGAGGTCTGTCGAGCTTCAGCCCCAGCCCTAGTTTGACAATTGGCCCAGTCAGCAGGATTATGGGCAGGTAAAAGAGCAAGAGCCTGACATTGATATAAAGACTCAGGCCCAGATCAGAGTTTCTATACAACCCAGGTGCACCAATTCTCTGGAGAGCTGGATGTACCTATAAAGTCAATCATTATAACCTGGGCTGCACAAAAAGCCTTCCCTAGGGAAGCAGCAGCAAAGCAGCAATTTAGCTAAGCCACAGAACTCAAATACTAGTCCCAACAGGAAGTTCCCCCACCTTAGAAGTAAGCAAAGGACACAAAAAAATTAGTTCTGGCTCAGACACACTGTTAGCATCCTGGTCAGCCTGGGGACATGAGGTATGGAGCTGGGGACCAGACCCACCTCCCACAACCAGGCACACAGCACCAGCACCTTGGTGCTCACCCAGGGACCCAAGGGATGGAGCCGAGGACTGGACACCCCCCACAATCAGGCACACTGCCAGCACCAAGGAGCCTGCCAAAAACATCACCTCCATGTGGGTGGCCCACCAGAGCCACTGCAATAACCATGGCTGCCACAAAAGTGGCTAGACATCACAACCACTACACAGATGGTCCACCAGCCACTGGAGTGCATTGACACAAGGAGAGTCACCAGCAGAGATAAAGAAAAGAAGAGGATGTCTCTCTCCACAAAGCCCATTTCAGAGTGACAGAAGCAGCATCTGCTCTATGATAACATTGGGGGACCTGTTCACACCTCTCAGCATTGGACACATCATCTAGGCAACAAATCAACAGAGTAACCATTATTCTTTCAGAAAGAGAGAAGAAATCTAGGGTAATTAGAGGGGGGGGGGAGAGGGGGATGGGGAGAGGTTGGACAAGGGGCATAAAGAATAATTACGTTTGTAACAATATGTATACTAGTAATATTGATTTGATCAACATATCTCAACAATGAACCCGAAAAATATGTATAATCAATTTTTTTTTTCCTTTTTGTCTTTTCGTGACCGGCAACGGATCGCAACCCTCAGTGTCACGCCTGTACCGGACCAGGACCGGCAACGGGATCGCAACCCTCGGTGTTGCGTCCGCACCTCGCTCAGCCAGTGAGCGCCGGTCTGTATGTGGGATCCGAACCCTCGGCAGGAGCGCCACCGCACTCCCAAGCGGTGCACTGTAGCAGTGCGCCACCGGGCCGGCCCTGTATAATCAATTTTGATTCAATAAAAATAAAATAAAAAATAAAATAAAAAATTGTTTACTACTTTTTTAAATTCTCAGGGGAGGTGGAGTGCCTCACTATAGACTCCAAGAAATGGTGACAAATCTCGTGGAGGGACTAGGCCCAGAAGGGCTGGAGTATTCAGGGATGGCTCCATGAAGAAAGATGAACTTGAGGTGGCTGTTGATGGACTCACAGGACTTCCACAGGCAGAGTGACTTAAGGGAATTTTAGATGGGAAAAGGGACAGACACAAGTAGGAATGGGCCTGGAGCAACTGGGATGTGGTGGGGGCTGCTTTGGCTGCAGTGGAGGGCCACTATGATGATAGAAAAGGTAAATGAGATAAATTTACCTCAAAGGAGGTAGGGTTGGTAGGGTACAGTCAAGATTGTCAGCTTCTTAAATCACTCTTTTCGTATGCCAGAACCTACCTGTTGGGAAAAGTAATAAGCTATTTGGTAATTGAACAAGAGGTAAACAGAGGCAAGCTCCAGGAATAGGCTCCTGTAAATATGACATGCCTTAGAGCAGCCTAATGCAGGATTTAGCTGCAGTGCTTTAACTGAACCTATTCAGACAATACCTTACACACTGGAGAAGAAGGGTGCTGTGTAAATCTAGTGAATCTCCAGAGTCACGCTTTTATCTTTTGGCCTCTTCCTTTCTTCCCAGGGTGATGCCAGCTCCACGAGGCTTAGGATTATACATCTCTTGTCACTTTAGTAACAGAGAATCAGAGGTAGAATGAGCATGATCAGTGAGCACATAAAATTGCTGACATACTTTTAAGTTGGCAAAATTTTACTATCATATCAACTCTGGCCTTCTTAGACTTCTTAAAATAGTCTAGTGGCTTGTTATTTTGGTTTTAATTCCACGGAGATCTCCTGGGAGTGGGATTCCTTTAAAAATCCCTGGAATATACTTTGCAATAAAAGAATAAAGCATACCTCAATCTCAGTGACTGAAGAGGAATGTCAAACAGTAGTAAGTGAGAAAGTGGTTTTGACTTTCATTTTATGGGTTCAGATTCTATTATAAAGACAGACATATTCTAGAACCTGAATTAATCCTTGTTTTTACCTCAATGAGAGAAAATTATAATCAAAATCATCACTACGACAGTCACAGATATTGCCAAGATGAGTTTGTTGTAATAGCCATATCCTGGAACTTCTTTAGTGAGCTAAAAAAAAAAAAAAGAAGAAGAAAGAAAAAAGAAAGAAAGAAAGAATAATTGTTTTTATAAAACAAAGAGGATGAAAGCTGGGATGGCTGGGTAGCTCACTTGGGAGGGCGTGGTGCTTATAACACCATGGTAAAGGGTTCAGATCCCTGTACTGGCCACCCACCAAAAGAAAGAAAGGATGAAAGCTAACTATTTAAAACCCCATTCTTGGGCTGTCTGGTTAGCTTAGTTGGTTAGAGTGTGGTGTTGTTAACACCAAGGTCAAGGGTTCAGACCCCAGTAGGCACCAGCTGCCAAAAAAACCAAAAACCAAAAAGCTAAACAAAACCCCCCATAAAACCCCTCTCTTCCAGATGAGTAGCTTATAGGTTCTTAAAGAACATACTAAATCTAATGTGTTACATAATCTTATTATTAAGCATTTTCTTCTACAATTTATCTTGTGTGTTAGGTCTGCTTTATTCCCTAAATGCGCAAAGTGGGAGATCACTGTCTTGGCCGAAGTTATATGACCAAGACAAGATAGGGACCAGGAGCCTCTGGCCTTCCTACCTGGGCACTTTAATGGCATATCCTAAGTGATGGAAAATTCTGGGTCTCACGTTTCGGTAGTTGTCCTCACCTCACATGACTCCTGATCTTTCTGTTCTCCCAGGGCTTCTGTGCAGTCACTGATATACTTCTCTGTTTTCTACTGGTCTATATCCCATTCTGCCTTGGACACCTTTACTTCTTGCTGCTCACTGAGAAGCTTCATCAGGAGGCCTGTTCTGGAGATGAACTTGGCACAAGTCATTTGTACATGGGGCTCAGAGAAGTCCATTTTCAAAGTCAAGATAACATGAGAAATGAATCTTCTCATGTCATTGTCAGAGATGAGGGATCCTAGCTGCTGGTTTAGCTGAAGTTAAAATTGATCACCTGGGGATGAAAGCAATGGGTAAGTGAAGCCTTTGGGCTTGGGGTGGGGGTGTTAAGTCATTGCCCAGACTGCGGTTATTCCCATTGTGTTCCATTGGATTGTTTAGCAGCTGGTATTAACTTTAATGCAGTCACAGAATCTACAGCAGAATTCTTGTGGGTTGTGTTTTCAGGGATAGCTTCTATTGGTACAGTGGCATTTTCTACAAAAACATTTTTATTGGAAGTATTTCTTGCAGTAGTGTTTTTTTCTATAGAAGGCTCTGAAAGAGCAAATAATTCTGGGAAAGGATTTTCCTGAGAACTCAGGTCTCCTGAAGATGAAAAAGCCCCTCAAAAAGAGGAATTTATAAAGCTCCCCACTGCAGAGAATGGAGGCCTCTTTGCAAACATCAGCCTCTTGAGTGAACCTTCCTTTCTGAGCTTTTGACTCAGTTTGGCCTTGGGTGTTCTGTGGACCACATGAGAGTGAGTTTTATGAAAATTGTGATTTTTTTTATGGGATGTAAGATTGGTTTAGCAGCCTTCATATTTTTAACTCTAGCATTTGCATCTTCTAAAGCAAAAATAGTGTAGATTGAGACTTGATCTGTTTCTAATCTTAGGTAGGGATTTTGCACTGGTGGAAGCAGAGGACCTGCTCACTGAGAACTGTTTCAGGAAGGAAGAGACTGTGGCCTTATGTTCCTCTGTGAATGAAGGCTCTGTATGGAAGGGGTTTCCCACTAACTTCCTGGACCTCTGCACCATGTGAAGTTTTTCCAGCTCCCTTGGGTTTGGTCTTCTGAGCTTTCTTTCTTTAGCACCCTTCTCCACAAATGGCTGGCCACTCTGTTTCCTCTTGATGTTCTGATCCCTCACTTCTTTGAAGTGCCTTTTCTTTATGCCCCTTGGCCCCTTGAGAACTCTGTTCACTGCTGCCTTTTTCCTATACTGGTTGGCTGGTTAGCTCAGTTGGTTAGAGTACAGCCTTGTAACACCAAGGTCATGGGTTCAGATCCCCACACTGGCCAGCTGCCAAAAAAAAAAAGACATAGAATTTTAAATAACTCAGAATACCACCATCTTGCTTCCTGTTCTCCACTCTTTAAACTTATTCATTGCTTGGCCACACACCACCTCCCTGGTCCCACAGGATCCCAGCTTGCTCCAGTTATCTCCTTGCCCTGTTGCAACACTTTTGATGGCCAATAGCTAAGAAGGCAGTTTGCAGAAGCACTTCCCAAGCACAGGAAGTTGTCACAATTTTCTGTGACTCCTCTGCCAAGCCAGGCATGCTTGTTTGGTGGATCCAGGAGCCTTGCTGGGGCTGGAAATGGTCTTCTCTAAGACCCCATGGCACAGATGGGCATGCGGGCAGATGAGGAGCAGAAGATGAGTGCAGGGACACAAGAAGGGGGACCAGTGGGGTAGACACTGCCCAGGCTGAGCAGAGATGTTTAGACAAGGAGGGGGAATCATCACTTCTCTGGTCTCAGCACCCAGTGATTCTACCCATAGCACATTTCCTTTGTGCATCCCTCCAATTGGTGCTGCTGGTTGTCTACAGGATGTCCTTGGAGGAAGCCACCTGGAAGGTGCAGAGAGAAAGAGCCACAGGGATCATCAAAGATGATGACGGGCTCCCATCTTTTGGTGTATTCATATACTAGGGCTGCCCTAACAAAGTGACTTACACAACAGATATGTATTGTCTCATGGTTCTGAAGGCAATAAGTCCCAAATCAAGGTGTTGCTTTGCATTGCTTTGCCCCCCATGGATTTGTCACCCCACTTCCCTGGGTGACAGAGATGCAAAGGCTTACTCAAAGTCCATCTCTACTGAGCAGTGAGAGGCCCCAAAGTGGTTAATCTCCTGGAACCCTCAAGAGAGAGGCATTCCTTCCTTGGGAAATTAATGCCAAATTGGGGTTCTCATCCTGCGTTTATTTTCTAGACCAGAAAGTTACAGGAAGAGAACATAGGTGGGGTTATAGTTTAACAATATAGGATGGTAACTTTCAGTGAAACAAGCCAGATGACATTCGAGTAAGGCAATTAAGTGATCCTATCAACAACAGTTTGATCTTAGCAAACATTCCTTCCTATAGCAATTTCTCAGTATCTTTACATAACAATCAGTAACTAGTCTGTCTTTGAGCCAGCAACCTGCTGTGCCACAATCCTTATCTTGCAACAGAGACTTATAGCCTGAGGGAAATTTCCTATCCTTGCAAGGTCAATATTTGAAACTGTAAGGTTTTGGAAAACCAGGCCCTGTGAAGTACATATGCTTTTTAGTATATTCCACATCAGCTGAGTTGGTTCCTTCTGTGGACTGTGAGGGAGAATCTGTTCCGGCCTCCCTCCTAGCTTCTGGTGGTTTACTGGCAATCTTTGTGCTTCCTTGGCTTGTAGAAGCATTGCCTCAGTCTCTGCCTTCATCTTCACATGGTATTCTCCCTGTGTGTGTCTTTGTGTCCAAATTTCCCCCTTTTAAAATAAGGACACCAATCATATTAGATTAGGGGTACATCCTATTCCAATATGATATCATCTTAACTAATTATATCTACAACAACCCTATTTCCAAATAAGTTGCACTCTGAGGTCCTGGGGGTTAGGACTTCAACATACAAATTTGGGGGTGGGGGTGGGGAACAATTCAATCTATAACAGTTGGGTACCTACTATGTACCAGCCACTGCGTGCATACTTTTAGATATTATATCTAACCCTTTAACAGTCCTGCAAGGTCAGTGTTATCATACCCACATTACAGAGGATGAAAGCAAGGCTGAGAAAAGTCGAGGGACTTGCCTGAAGTTAGACAACAGAAAGACCATCTGAATGCATCACCCAACCCTTTCTGAGAACCTGGGAGCTGACCACTGCAGCACTTCTCTCCTAGGACACCAGATAGGAAACTGTGTCTCCATCAACTTTCTCCATATGTGCCACCCTGTTTAGAGTAGACTGGCTGAGGATCACTTGGTTCTGTCAGATTTCAACCTAAATCACTCATGAGCTGTGCCTCTTCAGAGTGAATGTGGCAGGTGGTCTGTGGGTATGGAGCCTTGGATGGATGTGGAAGGCAGGATGTGTTGGGCTGGAGCCTGGCTCTCTTCTGCACATGCTGCCTTGCTTGGCAAAATTCTTCTTCTTCTGAGCTAGTTTGGATGCTGGGAAGCCCAAGGTCCGGGGGCCACATCTGGTGGGGACCTTCTTCTTGGTGGGAACTCTGTACAGAGTCCCCATGGTGACCAGCTTATCACATGGTAAGAATGGCCCATAGTATGGCATATAATGTAGGAGTTTAAATGAATAGAGTAACCACACTAAGTATTAGGAAGGAAAAAAATCTAAGACATATCACGAAGTGAAAGAATCAAGTTGTAGGATGTTAGCATTTATGTAAAAAAAAAAAAAGATAAAACTGCACAACAAACCTATTTTGCTATGTGTACATATATGTAGTCAAATGCATGGGGGAAGGTCTGGAAGGATATATACCAAACTCAGAGTAGTGCTTACCTCAAGGCTGAGGGATTAGGGCACAAAGAGGGTTTCCACTGTACCTGTTATTTCATTTTTATACATTAAGAATATAGTCATATATTACTTGTATGACAGAAAATAAATTGCCATTTACTTATTTTGAAGAGGGCCCACCAAATTTAATTTTTAAATAGTCATAAGATTGTAATCAATAGAGGTTGGTTTGGGATATGGAAGAGGAAATACCTTTTCTCAGAGGTATTGGCCTCAAAATTCTGGACCAAGAAGGTCTTACAATGCATTTAGTATTTTGTATTCATATCTGGAGAGAATATACTCACAGTTTCTCAGTCCAATGCTATGCTTCCATGTATCTTCATCGGTGTAAGAAATAGTTACCTTGGAAATCTCTGTGAAGAAACACAGTTCATATCCTTGAATAGATAGGAAATGAATGAACAGAATAAGTAAAAGAATCATGGCAACCTCACGGGGAATATTCAAATACATAAAATACTAGCTTTCTAATTTCCAGAGCTATCAGTTTGCACAATTAATGAAGAAATAATGTGGGATCACATGCACAAACCATGAGGTATCTCCTCAGAATCTTCACTTCCTATCTGTCCAATCTTTTGGAAAGATAATGCCAGTTAGTTACTTTGCCTTTTTCTTCCTTTTTGCCAGTTCATTACTTTGAATGTAAATATTTTTTCCAAAAATCAGTCTAAACTGACTCCTTCTACAAATCAATAAGAAAATGGTAAATAATTCAACAGAAATATGGGCAAAAATCTATCATTATCAGCAAAGAAGAATAAAGAATCCCCATGCCAAATAACACCAAAGCTTTGGCTAAGTGTCCTCTGTTGAAACCTCTCCAGGTATTGGAAGGGAAAGGGAAATTAGAGTGTCTAATGTGCTGATATGGAAAAAACTCTTAGACATACTGTATAGCGAAAAAGCAGAAATCACTGAGCAAGAAATAAAGCATTACCTCAAAATGCAAAGGAAAGAGACTGGAAGGAAGGACATACACACAAATGGTAACAGGGGTTATCTATGGGTGGTAGTGATGTTGGAGGTAGGGTCCACGGGTCTGATAGTCAGCCCCAACCCACCCAGTCCTCTTACCAGATTCTTGACTCTGCCACAGGAAAGAATTCAAGGGCAGAGTCACAGTAGACAGCAAGAACAAGTTTAATAAAATAGATAAGAAATACAGGTTCCACGGAGAGAGTGTGGCATAGCTCCAGAGACTGAGCAGAGCACAAACCAAGTTTAACACAGAAGTAAATTCAGTACAGACATCGAGTCTAACACAAAAGCTAAAAAGTTCAGTACGAAGTGCAGGCTGGCTCAAGAGAATGAGTTGCTGCTTTCTGAGAGTAAGTTAGATACAAAGTAAAGTACACACACCTCAGCAAGAAAGTGCGGGCTGCCTCCAGGAAAGAGATCAGCAACAACGCTGCCTTCAGCTGGGATTCAGCTTTTATAGTTTTTCTATCTAACAAATATTCAATTAAAGGGGTGGTTCCCAGTTATATGCACCAGAATGTTCTGTGCTCTCTGTTGAGCATGCCCAGCCACTGGATTGCATAAGCCAGCTCCCCTGTGGTCTCATTTTCCCTGTGTTGGTGCTTAAAATAGGTCTAACTGACAACAGTAACTTTCCTCCAGGGGAGACCACAGAGGAGGCATCTGAGACCTCAGGGAGTGGCTGGAAACCCAGAGGCGTGTCCTGAAATCCGAGCCCAGGGAAACTGAGCACATCCTGTATCAGTACGGTTCAGGGTGGGGGGTGATAAAGGGGTTTGGGGGTTACAGATTTTCACATTATCCTACATACTTTTGTAACTTTTTTTAAAAAAGTGGGGATGTCTCCATTAAGGACACATGTTTTAAGGAACCTGTCAGATTCCTTATATTTAGTTTCAACTTTGTGGGTGACTGAATCCTTACCTCTAACTCTGTCTCCATTCCTCAGCAACAACTTACTTAGTTTATATACACAATTTCCCTGGAGAGGGGCAGAAAGAAGTAAAAAGAAATACCTGTCTGCTCATCTGCCTGGTGGACATTTCCACTCAACCAGAAGCCTTCTAGTTGCTCTATGCTCACCACTGAAAGGTGCCTAACACTGAACTCATCTCCCTCAATCTGTCTCTCCTTCCCAACTGTGACATTTCCACCTGTCATGCCACCATTGTTCTCCTTGTTATCCAGGACAGAAACTTTGAAGTTACATTTGATTTTTCTCTTTCCTGTACACCCTATCTCCCAACTCTCCAGTCAGTTACTAAATCCTGTCTGTTCTTTCTTTGAAGTGCTCCCAGGATTTTCTTTCCACTCCTATCACAACCACTCTGATTCAGACTCTTCTCACACCACTGCTAGATTTTGCTAGAGCTTTCTATTTGGCTTCCCTCTATTAAGCTTCCCCCTCTAGATGACTCTAAATATGCATTCTAAAATAATTCTCCTGTTTTAATCATTTATCTGTTTGGCTTGAAAATTTCAATGGCTCTCCATATCTCTTTGTGTAATGTTCAAACCCCTATAGCTGATATTCAAGCTTTTTCATAATCATTGCTTCCTAACCCAATTCTTTGCAGCCAAACTGGTCTACAAAATTTTTAACATTCCTGCAGCCCTGGCTTTGCCTGGGCTGTACTCCCTATTTCTCTCTTTTTAACAAGTTATAGCCACTCATTAAGCCCCAGGTCAAGTTTGAGCTTACTCGTTAAGCCCCAGGTCAAGTTTAAGCTTATCCATGCAGCTTTCCCTGATCCCTACACCTCAATGATTATAAATTCTGGTGAATTAAAGCACCTAGTGTCTGCATCTAATTTAGTTCTTAATTCTATATCACCTCCCTTTTTATGCCTAGTCCCTTTCTTCCCACCTATCGTATTCACGTTCTGGAGACAATGTCATACATCTGCGGCTCCCACAGTACTTAGCCCTGGATTGGGTACAAAATGGCTGTTATATATAGAAAGCCAGGGACAAAGATGTGTTCTCAACATACCTGAGGGACTGAATAATAATAATAATAATAATAATGGCTGTCATTCATATATATATACTAGGCACTGATATAGGTGTTATATATTCACTCATCTAAATCTCACAACAATTCTATGAAATGGTAACTATCATAACCATCATTTTATAAGGTGAGAAAATTGAGTCACAGAACTACATAACTCACCCAAGGTCACAAAGCTAATTAATGACAGACCTTGCTTCAAAGCCAGTCAGTCTGGCTCAAGAATCTACTCTTAACCACTTTGATGTCTCATCACTAATGAGATGGGGAAAGGCAGCCTGCTCTAGCGAGGGTAGCTCAAAAATGGGAGAGCAGAGGTTAAGAAATGATATTATGGGGCTAAATAAAAATGAATTAAAAGAAAGAATAAGGGCAATCACAAGTGAAAGCTTGGAAAAAGGGCAAAATGGTAAGGAGAATGAGGATAAGGAAAAGTTGACAAGCAAAAGATAAAATCAGAAAGTCAGTCAAAGTGGATTGGGAAGATGAAAAAGGCCTAGGAAGACCTCAAGGAAAAGGCTGCTGTGCCACGCAAGGGGTAAGAAACAAATGAGGAAAGGTGATTCTTACAAGATGATGAAGGTGCTATTGTAAGTTTTGGGCTCTGGCACAAGCACTCAGTGCAGCCTCTGCTCTGGGCTGAGACCAGTGCAGGACAGTGTCTCATCTCTGCAGATACAGAGCTCACATAGGTTGATGCTCCTGGTGGTGCTTCTGGTGGTGCTTCTTTTCTGGGGTGTAATTTTCAGAAGATACCAATGGATGCTGAGTTATAGTAAGTTCCAGATCAAAAGGGTGAACCGTGACTTCAGTCAGGTTTGGATACTAAGTCTGAACCTGGTCTGCAAGTGGAGCTGTAGTCTTCTTCAGGGTTGTAGAATGCTCAGCCTCTGTAGTAGATACTGAAGTTATGGTAAGCTCCAGGTCTAAAGGACAAACTCTGACATTGGGCGACATTGGTTGCTGAGCTTGATCCTGACCTGGTTTTGAAACTGCCACCTCTTGATACACTTGAGGTGGAGCTACAACCTCCTTAGGTGGCTCTGGAGGCTGAGTTGGGGTCTTCTGCATGGTTTCAGCTCTGTAGTAGGTTCTGTAGTTATGGTAAATTCCAGGTCCAAAGATTTAACTGTGACTTGAGTCAACTTTGGATGTGGAGCTGTAGTCTTCTTCAGGGGTGTAGAATGTCCAACCTCTATAGTGGGTAGTGAAGTTATGGTAAACTTCAGCTCCAAAGGTTGAACTGTAATGTTGGGCAGTGTTGGATGCTGAGCTTCATCCTGAACTGCTGTTGAAATTGTCACCTCTTGATACACTGGAGGTTGAGCTACAACCTCTGTAGGTGGCTCTGGAAGCTGAGTTGGGGTCTCCTGCGTTGTTGGAGAGTGTTCAACCTCTGTAGTGGGTACTGGAGTTATGGTAAGTGCCAGATTGAAAGGTTGAGCTTTCAGCTTTGAACTTTGAACTTGAGTCAGGTTTGGATGCTGGGCCTTGGCCTGATCTGAATGTGGATATGTTACCTCAGGGGGCTTTGGAGAAGGAGCTGTAGTCTTCTTTATAGCTGTAGAATGTTCAGCCTCCACAGTGGGTTCTGGACTTACGGTAATCTCCACGTCCAAAGGTTGAAATGTGATACTGGGCAATGTTGGATTCTGAGCTTGATCCTGACTTGGTGTTGGAACTGTCATCTCATAGTGTGTTGGAGATTGAGCTACAATTTCCTTAAGTGGCTCTGGAGGCTGAGCTGGGGCCACCTGCTGGATTGGGGAAGATTCCACCACTACAGAGGGCTCTGCAGGCTAAGGGGGGAACTCCTGCAGACCTGGAGAAGGTTCTGCCTCCTTTGGGGGACCTGGAGGCTGAGGAAGGGCCTCTTGATGGACCAGAGATGGTTCTACCTTCTCAGGGAGTTCTTCAGGTTGAGATGGGGTCACCTGTTGACCTGGAGAAGGTTCCACCTCCTTAGGTGGCTCTGAAGGTGGAGCTGCAGCCTCCTGGGGGACTGGAGAAGGCTTGGCCTCTTTAGGGGGCTCTAGTGGCAGACCTGGGACCTGCTGCTGGCTCACAGATGGTTCAAGCTCCTCAGATGTTCAAGAGGGATGTTCAAGAGGGATGTTCAGCCTCCTCAGTGGTCTGTGCATATTCAGCCACAGCCTCCTGCTGGCTTAAAGAGGGTTTCTTATCCTTAACAGGTTTTGGAGATTGAACTGGAGCCTCTTGTTGAACTGGTAAGGGCTCAACCTCTTCAGAAGACCCTGGAGGCAGAGTTGGGGCCTCCTGCTGGGTTGTAGAAGGTTCCACATCATTAGTTAGCACTGAGGGCTGAGCTGTAGACTCATGGCAGATTGGAAAAGTTCCCACCTCTGCAGCAGCTTCTGCTGTTATGGAACGCTGCAGACCTGGGGTTTAATAGTGATATTGGGCAAGTTTAAATGCTGAGTTTGTGACCTGGAGGCAAAACTGTCACTTCATGATACTCTGGAGACTGAGCTGGTTGTTCCTGCTGGGTTTGAGGAGGTTCACTCTCATCAGGAAACTCAGAATTCAGAGCTGGCTGCTCCTGCTAACTCGGAGAAGGTTCAGCCTCCAGAGGAGCGCCTGGAGGCTGGGCTGGGGTCTCCTGCTGGCCTGGAGAAGTTTCAACCTCCATGGTAGGCTGTGTAGTTGTGGTAATGACCACATCCGCAGGTTTGTGTGCTACATCTGGGCTACAACTGTAACGCTGGGCAAATTATAATCATGAGCTTGGTCCTGATGTGGATGGAGGTTGAACCGTCACCTCATGATTTGGTAGAGTTTGAGCTATACTTTTCATAGGGGACCCTGGAGCTTGAAATGGGGCCTCTTGCTGAACCAGAGAAGTTTCAATCTCTCCAGGAGACCCAGAAGGCTGAGCTGGCTGCTCCTGTTCACTGGGAGGAGGATTGGATCTCTTCAGGGGTCTCTAGGTTTTGAGATAGGGCCTCTTGCTGTAATTGATTAGTTTCAACTGGCTCGGTGGCCTCTGGACGCTCATCTGGGTCCTTCTGGGATTCTAGAGGAAATGCAGGATAAACTATATACATACTCGAAAGTCCATTATCATCCTGCAAGATTTGTTTCTGATGCTTAGGTTTGGATGCAAATTGGTGTGGAGTTCCAACAACCTTAGCAAGCCACGGATGCTGAGCTAGATCTTTCTTCTCCTTCAGGGGTGAAACAACAAACTTTGTTGCTTTTGAACTCTATCTACAGTTCAAATCTTACTTTTCAGTGGAGGAGACAGAGCCAGGGCCTGATTCTGATTCCAGTCTTGCACTGGAACCGTCTCCGGGAGCCTTTGTTGCCGAGCTAGCTTGTCAGGCAGATCCTGGTGCGAAACAGCAAACTGATCTGGCTCTGGGGACAGCTCTCAAGCTGAATCCATGCCCAGGAATGCAGCCGAATTCTCAGCCAATTCCTGATACGGGACCAACATCCGGGAGGCAGCAGAGGATCCCAGGTAATCAAAGTCCCCCGGGTCTGCCGGGGGTGTGAGCGCATGTGGTGATCCAGGTGGGCAATCAGACGAGCGCGACGACCAGGACTCAGTCAGCCCTGGGGGGTTGGAGGTCAGAGGGACAGGGTGCCAGGCCCACTCAGGAAGAGGGGCCACCTGGACTAGCAGCCATAGGAGTGCAAACGTCAGGAGGAGCCGGAGGGCTCAGAAGCGCAGCCAGGATATCGTATGCGGAAGCGCTGGGGCAACCGACCCAGGCCAATGGGGCACGGCAGCTCCGCCGCGCCTGCCCTGACCGCCTGTGGCCCCGCTCCCGGCCCGCCCTTTATTTATGACATCTTTGGTTACCCAGGCAACGTTTATTAGTCAGGCCTAATAAACGCCACAAGGCCATGGGCGCCACAAGGGCGAGCCTTGTCCCACAATCACGGTGCTCATACCTCCTTAACCCCCTGCAGAAGTGACAATCACCTCCGGATGGAACAGCTGCCTTCCTCGGGGAGGCCCCAGCAGCCCGTTGGGGTGGGGCTGCAGGGCATCCCAAGGAAGTCACAGGGCCTCTCCTCTCCTGATATTCAGAAGTGCTGCTGTGCTTCTGACAGTCCGAACTCCTCTTCCAAGCTGAAATCTGAGAGATCTTCTTCCCCTTGGCCATACTGCTTCCAAGAAAAGCAACTGACCTGCTAAATGAGCGCCACTCAGGGCTACAGGCAGGAGAACACACATTACGGTTATTTATTCCAAAATATGGCCATTTCCTGTAAACTCTCAGTGTCCTTTGTTCCACGTTTAATAATTAGTTCACCACTCTACTAGGTAGGGTGCTACCGCAGAATCAGTGATGACCCCAAAATTTCTGTAGGAGGGGTTTTGGGGGGTGGGCAATTCAAGCCTGGGCAAGAGAGTTTGAATAAGAGTGAATAGCCCTTTACATTGGTGTGGGAAAACTTCCCCATCCCACCTGGGCTCCACACAGCTATTAGTCTAGAAGTAACAATACCACTTTTCAGAGGTCTCCTATATGTACACTTGGAGAAGACACTAAGGAAGTTAAAGTTAGCCTGTTAAATAATTTCCTTGAAATACTGCTATAACTAGAACCCTCTTGACTTCATTCACAGCCCTTCTTATAATCCATTTTATTTCTTGTTTACTATTTAGCACAACCCCTAGCACATAAGCTCCAAGAATGGGCTTCATCTTCTTATTCCCAGGGCTTAGCACATAACTTGGCACATAGTGCTAGTTTTAAAATGAAACATATTCCAAGATTCGCCTCATTTACGGAGGGATCAGTTGTTATAATCAGATTCCTGAAACTGGTGATTATTTCCTTCCTTTCATATTTCACAGGGAGCTACACTTCTTAAAGCTGGAAATTTCCTTGACTGCTTTTATTTAAATTGAATTAAAATAATTATCTTAGATGGAAAAAAAATTCAAATACATTTTCAGAATGTAACCACTATCTCTTTCTCTACCATCTCCAAAACAAAACACTTTGCAAGTTTGGGGTGGGTTAAATAATCAGAAATCTAGCCCCAAATTAAGAAACACATTTTTTGCTCCTTTAAAATTTTATTTTTTAAGTTTATTAGTATCATTATTTTTTTACATTCTAAGATGTAGTTGTGGAGTGGGGAGAAGGGGGAGAGGAGAAGGGGAAAGGAAATAGGGTGGGAGAAGGAGGAAGCGGGGTGTAGTTGAGGCCTGTGGCACCCCCTCATTCCTGCAGGGAAGACACGGAGGCTTCCAGTGGTGGCTTTGGACTGAACTTTAAGTTTGTATTTCTCGCTTTTGTGTTAGACTTGATGTCTGTACTGAACTTTGTTTTGTCTTAAACTTGGTGTGGGCCCTGCTCAGTCTTGGGAGCTATGCCACACTCTCTGTGGAAACTGTATTTCTTATCTGTTGTATTAAACTTGTTCTCATTGTCTACTATGACTCTCCCCTTGAAATCTTTCCTGTGGTGGAGTCAAGAGCCTGAGAAGAGGACAGGGTGGGTTGAGGCTGACTACCCAGCCCCCCGGACCTTACCTACAACATCTATATGATTATTAAGACTGAATTTTTGGCTTTATTATCAGGCAAGTCTTTACCCTACAGAATATATTCCTTCTCAAATATTTCAGGAATAGTTACACAAATTGATTATAAACTAAAGCTACACATGATCTCTCAAGTTCTCCAAAGGAGAAATTATATAGGCTCTGTACTCTGACTACAGTGAAAGCCCCCCAACTTCTTAAAACTTAAAAAAACAACCTACACATGTTCCCCCCATCCCCAAAGAGTTATTGGGTCAAAGACAAATTCAAATCTGAAATAACAGTTCTCCAATACAATGAAAAGGACAGCAATGCATATCAAAGTTTCTAAAATGTAACCAAAACTGTATTTAAGGGCCGGCCTGTGGCTCACTCAGGTGACTGCGGGGCTGATAACACCAAGGCCACGGGTTCGGATCCTATATAGGGACAGCCGGTTTGCTCACTGGCTGAGCGTGGTGCTGACAACACCAAGCCAAGGGTTGAGATCCCCTTACCGGTCATCTTTATAAAAAAAAAAAAAAAAAAACCAAAAAAACACTGTATTTAAAAGTATATTCATAGTCTTAACTGCTTTCATTCAAATAAAACAAAATAGAAGGATCCTGGCCTGGAGCTCTGAAATTGTTTAACCAGCTGATCAGTGGCAAAGCCGGGATGGAAAGGAGCTCCTGGGCTCCAGAACCCTTGGTCTTAATGTATATTTCACACCATTTCCCCATTTTATTGCTGGCAACTTACCTTTCAACTTCTGTGTTGTGACATTACAGTCAAGAAGTGCTAATATAAATTACATGGAAGGAGAAAGAAACTGTGGGGTTTTGCTTATTTATTTAATGGGGTGGGCATTGAAAATACAGAAGATGGGAAAACCAGAAGATACATGTATCCAATGAGCACCTGCTCTGTACCAGGCACTGTGCAATGTTCCTTACCACTGTCTCATTTAATCCTCAAAAAACTCTGCAGAGGGATATTATTACCTTCTTTTTGTAGACAAAGAAGTTGAGGCTCAAAAGTTGCTAAGGAGGAGCTGAACCAAGGGTCAAAGCAAAAGTCTTTCAGGCCCCCAAGCCTGCACTGTTTCTGCTGCATGATGTGGTCTGTGCCATGAGCAATGGAAGAGAGAAAAAGGGACTAAAAAACCCCAAACCAAACTAAAACAACAAATAAAACAAAAATAAGTGAATTGAGCAATCAACTCAAGAAGTTAGAAAAAGTACAAGGATGCAGCTCTATTCACACAGCCAAGAGTTGGAGTCAACCTAGTGCCATCGAGACAACTGGACAAGGAGAATGTGGTAGATGTGCACAATGGAATGCTACTCAGCCATAAAGAAGAATGAATTTCTGCCACTCGCAGCAGCACGGATGAGCCTGGAGAAAGTGATGTTAGTGAAATAAGCCAGGTGCAAAAAGAGAAACGCTGCATGTCCTCACTCATAAGTGGGAGCTAAAAAAATAAACACATAAAAAAAGAAAGATACAACAATCACAATAATTCATTGAACTTTCTTTTTTTTTTTTTTTTGTCTTTTTTGTGACCGTCCAGCCGCTCTGCGCACCGGCCATCCCTATATAGGATCCGAACCCGCGGTGGGAGCGCTGCTGCACTCTCAGTGCTACACTCTCACCAGTGCGCCACAGGGGTCGGGCCTGAACTTTCAAAAGTAGTGAACAGAAGTGAGGTTACTAGAGGTGGGAAAGGGGGAGAAGGGCTAGTGAGAAATTGGTGAAGGGTCACAGAGAATGATCACATTTTGTAATGATGGATATTACGGATATTGTAATGATGGATATAATCATTACCCTAATTTGATCATCACATATTGTACAGAGGTATTGATATTCAACCCTGTATCCCCCAATTATGCATAATTTATTATGTTTCAATTAAAATAACAAAAACAGAAAAAGTACAAGGAAAACATTTCCAAGGAAAACAGGAAGAAGTAAGGCATACGAATTAAAGCACAACATATTTAACTGGATCCAGAGGAAAATGTTGGTGTGATATGTTAAAAATGGAGTTAGGAAATGGTTATAGAACCCATGTATTACAGATCTCACTTACTCTGGACCTTGGATCCTTCTCTGTAACACCAGAGTTAGTTTAACTAAATTCATCAAAGTTTCTGGAATGAGTTCCTTGCAAGGACAGGCCACTATATCCTGCCCTGAGAGAGGCTCTCAGTAGGACTGAGCAGTGCCTGTACCTGCTGCTGGCCCTGAGAGCAGGGGGAAAAAAGAAGTCACATGTCTCTGCTCAGGAAGATGCCAATGGGAAGCCCCTGGATTGTGCTGTGAACTACAAGACAAGTGAAATACAAGCATACATTTGAAAAATCAGATGTGGTCCTTAGTGAATGAGTCTGGGTAGTGGATAGCCAGCAGACATCATAGGGTGGTCCAGTCCAAACACCCCACCTACATAATTTAAATAGGAACACACTACCCTGGTGGTCAGCTCTGTGAGAAATGAATGCCACCACCAAGCTGAAATCTGCCTGTGTCCACCTTCTCCACTCAACCCTGGACCACACGCATCGGGCCACAAGCATTGTACCTTCCTGCATGGAAGGGCCAACTGCTGAACTTTGGAGCCAAACAAATGTGGGCTCAAAGCCCAGCCATGCCCCTATGTTGTGCAATATGCCCTGGTGATGCTGCTTGTTGTAGCTGATGGGCCAACATACCACACCTCTGTCTGGCTGCACTTGTAGCTGGTATGTTTGCTACACATGATTGTACACATGGGTGCAAGTGTCTGACTACTCTGTTATATGTTCCAGTGTGGTCATGCCTGAGCACTTACACAGCACTTACCTATTATTTCATTACTTCTCTTTAGTTTCTCTTATATATTATAGTTAGGGTATTATATTAATTTTTAAACTTATGATCATTCTGAATGGATAAAGAAATTGTGATACATTTATACAATGGAATACTATTTAGCAATAAAAAGGAATGAACTATCGTTATGCAAGACAACATGGATCGATCTCAAAATAATTATGCTGAGTGAAAGAAGCCGGACAAAAAAGAATACATACTTTATTGTTCCATTTATAGAAACTCTAGAAAATGTAAACTGATTTATAATGACAGAACACAGATCAGTAGTTGGTTGGGAATTTGGGAGTAGGAAGAGGCAGAGAAGGGATAACCCAGGGGCACAAGGAAACTTTTGGGGATAATGGATATATTCACTATCTAGAATGTGATAATGATTTCAAGTGTATACATATTACGTATATCAAAAGTTATCAAATTATACTCTATAAATATGCTCAGTTTATTGTATGCCAATACCCCAGTAAAGCTGCTCTACCATTAAACAACATATATTTTATGAAAAGGGAGTTTGGGCTCTGGCATGGTTGAGAATCCCAGCATCAAGCAGGGGAGAAGCTTCTCCCACTTCCCCACCTTCAGGCAGGTGTGCTGTGCAATTTATCCAGTGGCCACTAGAGGACCGCAGCGACCCATGTACAGGAAGTGAGGGTTGCAGGGCTTCAGCACAGAAAAATTCTCTGCTCTATGCTCCCTTGCCTGGGAGGTGGGCATTAATAACCCCATTACACTCGCTAGTAGAGCTGAGATTTGAGTAATAGTCTCTTTGGATCCTGATTCTACCTGTTGGTCCCTCATCACAAGGAGATGCACAGATGGGGC